AGTGTGTTAAGTGAAGTATAGTCTCTGAATTAACTTCGCTGTGAGTGTGTTAAGTGAAGTATAGTCTCTGAATCAGCCATCATGGTGAGTATGTTAGGTGAAGTATACTCTCTGAATCAACTTTGCTGTGAGTGTGTTAGGTGAAGTATACTCTCTGAATCAACTTCACTGTGAGTCTGTTAGGTGAAGTATAGTCTCTGAATTAACTTCGCTGTGAGTGTGTTAAGTGAAGTATAGTCTCTGAATTAACTTCGCTGTGAGTGTGTTAAGTGAAGTATAGTCTCTGAATCAGCCATCATGGTGAGTGTGTTAGGTGAAGTATACTCTCTGAATCAACTTCGCTGTGAGTGTGTTAAGTGAAGTATATCCTCTGAATCAGCCATCGTGGTGAGGTATGTTAAGTGAAGTATAGTCTCTGAATCAGCCATTGCTGTGAGTGTGTTAGGTGAAACATGCTCTTTAAATCAGCTATCGTGTATGAGTGTTAGGCGAAGTATGGCTAGACTCCAGGCTTGCCTGTACTGGATAAGTGGCTGTGAAAGAAGAACATCACTGAACTTCACCAGCAAAATATCCTGGAAGTTAAACAAAGATTTAGCTTTTAGCAATTAGAAAGAATAACACAAAGGAGCTACACAGGAGGTCACTCTGAAGCACCTCGATAGAGCCACACAGGAGGTCACCCTGAAGCACCTCGATAGAGTCGCACAGGAGGTCACTCTGAAGCACCTCCGTAGAGCCACACAGGAGGTCACCCTGAAGCACCTCGATAGAGCCACACGGGAGGTCACTCTGAAGCACCTCCGTAGAGCCACACAGGAGGTCACCCTGAAGCACCTCGATAGAGCCACACGGGAGGTCACCCTGAAGCACCTCGATAGAGCCACACAGGTCGTCACCCTGAAGCACCTCGATAGAGCCACACGGGAGGTCACCCTGAAGCACCTCAGTAGAGCCACACAGGAGGTCACCCTGAAGCACCTCGATAGAGCCACACAGGAGGTCACTCT